TAAGAGAGTACTGCGAGATACAAAATAGCTTACTCTGTGCATTATTCCACAAAGCGATGAAACTTTCTTCTCAACATATTTTATGTGTTCAACCCAACAAAGTGTTGTGTCCAAGATCAAACTTAAATATTTAAATGACCTGACTTCTTCGATTGTACATAAATTCAATGTTACGTTGCCATGCTGTGGTACAGACTTCCTAGGGGAACGAAAAAACATACATTTAGTTTTTGAAGCATTCAGGGAAAGGAGGTTAGCTGCGAAGTATTTTGATAACGCCTGTAAATCTTGATTCATATCACGAACTATAAGCTCTACATCAGTTTGTGGATAGAAAAGAGCAGTATCGTCTGCAGATAAGCGTGGAACCCCTTTCAATTGAAGTCTGGACAAATCATTTACGTACAAAAGAAACAGTAATGGGCCTATATTACTCCCTTGAGGCACGCCCACTCCAATCGGCTTTAAAGAACTTTTAGATGTACCTATAGAAACATACTGTTTCCTTCCTGACAAATAGTCACGTATCAGATCGTTTGCAACTCCTCTGATTCCATACCTTTCAAGTTTTTCCAAGAGAATGGAGTGGTTTAGCGTATCAAATGCGCAAATCTAAGAAGAGAGCTCCAACTATTTTCTTTGAATCAATACCGTTGATAACATCATCTTACAATTCAGCAGTTACAGTAGATGTACTACTCCCTTGCCGAAAACCATATTGTAAGCTATATAATACTTCATGTTTATTTAGAAAAGGCATGAATCTATTGAGAAGTAATTTTTCCAAAATTTTATTAAAACTTGATAACGTATAAATTGGACGATAATTGCATGGATCGCTTGAGTCCCCGGATTTAAAAATAGGAACTACCCTAGCAACTTTCAAACAATCTGGATAATAACCTGTTTCCAGCATTTTATTGAAGACTTCCGCCAATATTCGCAAAAAAGTAACAGAGTTATTTTTGATAATATCCGCTGAAATGCAATCAGGACCACAGCTTTTATTTCGCTCCAAATTGTTAATTAATAAAGTAACTTCGTTCGCAGAAGCTGGATACATGAAAATTGAATCAGAAACACGTTGTAAGCTCGAAAGAGGGTTCACTGTAGGATCAACGTGAATGGTTCCAGCTAATGTTCCACCTATACTGGAGAAATAATTGTTGAATACTTCACAAATTTCTTGGTTATCGTTGGTTTTCACACCATTATCAACAAGCGCAATCGATTCAGTTTTGACAGATTTCCAAAAATATGGTTTATGTTTTTCCACATTTTTGCGTGAGGGGTATTATTCAGGAGATTGTCATAGTATAACTTTTTAGTTATTTTTTTTAAAGAGCTAACTTTATTGGACACGTGTTTAAGAAGATCTTGAAGGTGTTAATCATTAGGATTCCTCTTCACTCGTTTAATGTAGTTATTTTTAATTCTGATCAATGACCACAAATTGAAACTCCTCCATGGACAATAATTGCCTTTGGTATTAACTTGCTTAGTAATGATTTTCGAGTGTTTAGTTAGCAGCGAATTATAAGTTGATATAATGTCGGTAAAGCATAAATCAGCATCCTGAACTGTCCCAACATTATTTAGGAAATTGCTGAATTCCATGTCAAGCTTACCACGGTCAATGACAGTTTTAGTAAGTGTGACTTTTTCCCTCTCATCATGTAATTTGAAGGACAGTATAAGCATACAGTGGTGACTTACATCAGTAAATATGGTATCATTCCTTGATCGTGGAATATCATCAGCTCTACAAATAACATGATCAAGAATGTTCGAGCTTATAGGCCTGGTTGGAAAGGTGTTCATACATACAAAGCCGAATGATTCCAAAAGTGATTTGTACCTCACGACCACATTGTTATTTTGATAATTAACGGGTATATTGACGTCACCAACAAGAAAACAAGAACGATTATTATTAGACGAATCAAGTATATTCTCTAAAATGTTTAAAAAAATATTTATTTCGAACGATGGAGGACGATAAAAACCATGAATATTATAATTCCGTCCACTTAAGCCAAGCTCAACATTTATATGGTGAAAGCCGTCAACATGAACATTGCGTAGAACGGTAAAGGATATGCCACTTCTGATGAACATTGCCAATCCTCCATTTGAGTTGTCCCTGCATGAGACAATGGAAATGTATCCAGGAATATTATACACCGATTTGTTATCTTCTTTTACCCATGTTTCTCCTATAACGACTACATCAATCGGGAACCGGCAGTGGTCAAGTGTTTCAAGGATTTGATCAAATTTGTTGAGGTCATTCATACCTCTAATGTTCCACTGTAATATACGTAAATGGTTTGCATTAGATTCATTGATCGGAAATGATTTGTTAAAATCATCAAGGTTATCATGGGAGAAACTATTGACATTAGCCATTGTTATTTCATGATTAAAAGTAAAAAAAAAGAAAAAAGAAACCTTTACTCACACAATTATTTCTTCTCGCTTCTCTTACGCTTAGGAGACGGAGGAGTGAGATAAAGTGCCATTCATGAAGCTGCCTAAGTCGTTACGATTCCTAATCACTTCCGGTTTGGAGTGCTCATTTACCTTCACTAATATAATGCCGTCTCTGCCCGCCCAAACGTATTTCAGGTTATTTTTTTTTTAGTATTTCACGCATTTCTTGCAACAGTTCAAGAGAAAGCGGAGTCAGCTCATCCCGGACAGCAACATTCGTTGTTTTCCCATTGAAGATCAACGATCGGTCAATGGATGATGATGGAAGTTGCCCATACTCTCTTTTTTTTTCGAAAAAAATACCTCCTTCACAGATTTATCTTTGAAAACAATTCTAATTGGAACCAGTTTGTTTGCAGAAGTGTTTGAGGTATATACCCGAGAGGCTGATAAAAGAGCACCAGAAGGGAGATCAACACCAATACATTGAGCCAACTTAGAAACCAATTCAGGGACATTTTCGTTAGCTTGTACTGGAAGACCAAGAATAACCGCATTATTGGAAATAGAGTCCTTGTTAGCCTTATCCGCTTTCACTTCCAGTTTGTGAACAAACTCTGTCAAAGACGACTGAGATTTTTTTTAGCTCGTCTACTTCAGTTTTCAAGCGTTCATTATCCGACTTTAAATCTTGAACATCGGTCACTATACCATCAAATTTGGACGAAAGAAATTGTTGTGAATCTTCTATTGCGTTGACGATCGTATTTACCTCAGCTCTTACAACCTGTAGTTGAGCAGACACAACATTAATCACAGTGTTTTTTATCTCAGTACTAAGCTCGGCAATCAATGCGGTACGAGCATTTTGCATTTCAACAATTTTTTTGTAGATTTCAGAACATTTGGAGGAGCAAAAGTACATGTTTTCTTTGACTTTGCGAATAGCATTTCCAATGATATTGCGGCATTTGAAATGCGCACTTGAGAAGCAATACAGACACGTTACGAGTTTGCTAGGATCGCTTTCTTTTTTTTTTTACATTCAACGCAATAAACAACATCACTTTGATCTTCCGACATTCTTGAAGATGAGTACTGTAAACAAATTATAAACAATTTTTTTTTGAATGGGATCCACTACAACGAAAAAACTACAATAGGCTATAAACGAACATATAGAGTGTATATCGAAAGTAAGAGACTGGCACAATACACTGAAAAAGTAATAACCAAAAGCAAAGCTTTTCCAATTCTACAATCGACTGTGGAAGAGTATTCGTAACTACGGCAGGCATACAACAAATGGTGGTGTGTTAGATCCGACTATTAATTTGACTGATAAGGATCCCACGACCTACTGGCTACCAGAGGTGTCAGTTTCACTTCCGATTTTTTTCTATCCAACTTCGCTAAATTTGCAGTACTTGACCACAGCCACCAGCATACCTACAGACTATTTGGTGATAGCTGTACGCAGCGTAGATAGCCCTTGCCTTCGACAACAGAACCACTTTTATGTGCTACTGATGGATGTACTAATTCCAAAGACACAAACCAATCAAGAACTCAGAAGCTTTCGCCCACGGAACCGAGCAATATCAGCCAAATGAACAGTTTGTGAAACACACCACAGCTTACCAACACAATCAAGTCAATACGAATGAAACTCAGCCCATCAATACAATTGCTTCAAGGAACAACAAAACCATTCGATGATCACTTTAACAGGTAACAAACAGGCACTTTTCACTTTTATTTTGATGCAAACTCGCAACACTCGAAAAAACTATGCAATAACCAAGGCTAAACTACACCTTTGGAACAAAATTATGATTAATTTAAACGTAAATCACTTAAAATTCTAAAAAAATAATTTACACTTTAGGACAATAGTATTAGCTACCAGAAACAGCGCTGCCAGAAATATTTACATCCCCCCCCCCCCCCCCGCCACCACTGGCAAAAAAAGAAGATCACCGACCGCTCAAGTACCGACGATGTGTTTGAAACAGTTCTACCGATTTTTACCGCATTCCAGTTGTTATCTGAAGGGGAAATGATGATAAAACCAATTTGTACCTTCCGAAAGTTGTCCTAGCTTGCTTTCTTCTCTCTATATGCAATTTTCACACTATCAATTCTCCTCACCTATCGTATAAAAATTACCACTTTAGTCTGTTATTTGATATTAGCATCTTCAACTATGTAAATCGTTGACTTCACGCAGAAGTAATACTAAACATATAGTCAATGTAACAGATCCACCAATTGTGTTATGAAAATTTACAGACTTACTTCTGTTAACCCTGTGTAATACTGAAAAATAAAAGATAGGCAAAACAAAATAAGATCAATATTAGTTCAATGTTTAATTTCATGTTTGTTAGGAGACCTAATCATCTCACAAACTAATCATCAATTTGATGTAGAAGGGATGTTTTTCGTATTGGAAGACTTGAAATAATATAATTTTTGTTTCGGTGAATGCATCAAAAGTGTCGGTCAATGCAAACTATCAATTTCAATCAGGATTGTATACATTGCTCTACATTTATTGTTAAAAAAATACTTAGTTACATATAGGTCAACATGAACGAACGTTCCACAGATATTCAAATCCCAGCTCCTTCGGCATTTTACCCTTCCAAGTGAAAACTTGCCCGACGGTTCGGCAGATGGTGTTGTTGGTTTTCCAGTGGTTCAGGTTCATCTCGTAAGGCTGGAGGCATCCGTAAGGCACGTCAAACTTTCGCTCACCAGCGTACAGATATTCCTTCATCTCTTTGTTTTTGATGGCAAAGTAGCCATTTTTCTGCTGCTCAACCGTCCATTGCATCTCTTTAGTTCCGTTGATGAAGGCCGATAGATGTACTCGCCTCCGATCGCCATCGAACTGCATGGCTTTGTTGGTATGGAGATACATCGGAGCGATTTGATTCTTGACGGTGTAAATTCGGTACTCCTTCCCACTTTTCTCGAAGATCCATTCCTTGTCTTCTAAATGTTCCCAGTTATCGTAGTTGACGTTTCGATCGTACATGCTGCTGTGGTACAGCCCGGAAAATAGAAATTTCCGATAGGCGACACTCTCGAGTAGAACACATCCCATTGGTGGGTTGGATTTGGACAGTACGTGAGTAGCTGCTACCAGCACCAGAACTATTACCGCTCGTAGATACATGGTTCAGTTATCTTCTAGTTCATTTAACGTTTGAAGAATGATGATGATTGAAATATGTGGTCGAGTTTTATAGTATCTTAGTGGTAAAAAGTAAGGTCATGGTGTTGAATATTCAACAACTTTTCGTTATTATCTAAGACAAAGATAAAGTGTGTAATTGCTGGTGCACTTACCCTACGCTACGGGGATCCCCTTTATCTTGCAGAGCTCGATAGCAGAAGATTGATATCGCCACAAGACACATGTTCTAATGAGTGAGTAGCAAATAAATGAATTTAGAAGTTCCACGATTGAGTTCATGGAAGCACCGGTGCGTACATTTTTATCGATTCTGTGACGTTTGACGACGCGAGTAACTATATTGGCAATCGTTACCTTTTTTGCTATTACATCATTTCAATTCTGGTCGATTTATAATTGAATCAAGTTGTTTGTGTCACTGTCGGAACTTTTTTTTTCTTGATTTAATTTCCGTCGATTCCGTCAATTGTTTTCCGCAGTGAGTTCCAATGCTACCCTACCTATCGACCCATCAATTCATAGATCGGGGACCAATGACTTTACTTCCCGGCGTGATCAGAGATTTTGTCTCAGAAACTCCCGACGGTGCCGACTGGGATTGAACCCAGGCTCTTTGGAGCGCTACTGTCGAAACTTCAATACTAACCCTTTTGGCGCACGATAGATAAATGATTGATAAGTTTTTTTTTCATCATGATGGTCTCCAAAAAAAATCTTGATACTCCAATAATATTCTCGATCCGTAATCTACTGGCTTCATATTGAAATTGTTGCACATAAAAAAACATATGCAAATGATTATAAACGTTCCAACCAAGGTTGCAAATTCTCATTTCAGCTAAAACAATGTTTTTTTTTTTAAATTATGAAATATTTAGATGCTATGATCATATTTTGAATTGATAAGATACAAGAAGAGGTTGCAAAGAATGTGTTTGACATATTAAACCTGTTTATTTCACTTCATGAGAGTCACAATCAGCGATTTTTCACAAACTCACTCACTCACTCACTCACTCACTCAGCGATCAGCAAATCGCTGATTGTGACTCATAGAAAGCAAAATTTACAGGTTTTATGTTTCCAACGCATACTTTGTAACCTCTTCTTGTAAGTTACAAGTAAAACATGCCATCATACCATCTTTTGGTTTTATTATTCCGAAAAACATTATTTTAGCTGAAATGAGTATTTGCAACCTTGGTTCCAACTATTGACATGGAAGTATAACCATAGAGGTAACTCTAAACCCAGAAGGTCCCGAAGAAACGTCCTAAACTTTTTGGCTCAGCTCTGGTACTGTCTTCAGTCCCAAGCTAATCGATGCACCCTCGAAACATAGGAAAATCCACGAACCCCTCATTTTATCTGTCAAACTTTCATAGCTAATCAAAACAAACATAGGGTGGGGTACGTAGGGTGAAAAGTAACCTCCTTGACCGCTAGAATGCGCTGCTACTGCAAAAAAGGTTATGATACCTTGTAGTCCGTTCATATTTAGGCAGACATGCCAAATTTCAGGGCGATACTGTCTTTAGTTTTGTTTTGACAGCTGATTGTTGCTGACATGTTTGGCAACTTAGTTGAGTATGGATAAAAACGATTTTCGTTCTCTCATAAGGCTAAAGAAACAAAAGAAAAGTTGGATAAATATTATGGGGCTAATGCTCCGTCAGATTACAACGTCAAATATTGATTCGAGAGATTTGTGGTGGCCGCAACTCCACTACCGATCAAGTTCGCAGCGGCAGGCTCTCGATGCGGCTACAGAGGACAATGTCAAAAAAAAAATACATGAAATGGTGTTGGCTGACCGGAAAGTGAAGGTGCGCGAGCAAAGATAAGTACTGAGCGCACATGCCATATTTTGGGCGAGATTCTGCATATAAAAAAGTTATCCTGCCGCTGAGTGACACGCAAGCTCACTCCTAACCAAAAACACGAACGCTAGAGCACTTCGAAAGAGACTTGCTGATGCGGAATCGGGCGGACTTTTGGCGTCGATTGGTAACTGTTGAAGAAACCTGGATCCACTATTACACCCCAGAGAACAGAATGAGTGCCCGGCAATGAGTGCTCCAAAGCGGCCGAGGGAGGATCGATGGGTCAGAAAGGTTATGGCATCGGTTTTCTGGGATTGTCATGGCATACTCTTCGTGGACTACCTCGAAAAAGGAAAAACCATCAACAGTGAGTATTACTGTGCATTATTGGAGCGATTGAAGGGCAAAGTTGCTGTAAAACAGCCTCACATGCAGCGAAAAAAAAACTTGTTTTTGCAAGACAATGTGCCGGCGCGCAAGAGCATCGCAACCACGGCTCCAATTGCTTCCGCATCCACCATATTTGCCCGATTGGGCTCCCTCAGACTATCATTTTTTCCCAAACCTCAAAAGATGGCTCATCAATAAAAATTCAGCTCACGTGAGGAAATCATCGACGCCGCGGAGGATTATTTTGCAGACCTTCCGGAAAATTACTTTTCAGACGGGATCATGAAGTTGGAAAATCGCTGGAATTAGTGTATCGAGCTAGAAGGGAACTAAATTTGTTGTTTATTAATTTATTTGATAAGGCTCAAACGAATAAACTTTACAGAGCCGAGGATTCTTGGTCACTACACAATGCATCTTAAAACTATAGTCAAAAGGTACAACACAATAAACACTTTATCTTCCGCTATCCAAAAAGCCTCCTCCATATGAACTGGAGCCGCTTCCAGTGGTTTCCTTGTATGGCAATTACGCCATTGGGGGGCAGAGCGCTTCCATTGCAGCAATGGACGCAAAACGTGGTCAGCACTCACACACTCATCATGAAACGGTTCCTTTCCAAAGTCGACGACGCATCGACCGAAAGAACTGCTGATGAAGAACAATGAGGAGGACCACACAATGGTTGCTGCCGAGAAAACAAACGATCGCGTGGCACACATCGAGAGTGGCCTGCTTTTGTCGATAGCCGAGTGAACACTGAGGAACTAAATTGAATAAAATAAAATAAAAACTTAAAAAAAAAACTTTCCCAAGGAGGTTACTTTTCACCCCACTAGTACTAGAATTTTGATTACAATGGGGTACGCTTATAGATGTACTTTGGACCAATAGGCTAGTCAAGTAGTAGCCAGTTTAAAAACTTTACTTTCCACCGGTTGGTATTGCACAGCAAAATTTGCTAAATTTCAAAGATACTTTGTGGATAATTGAAATTACAATTCCAAGAGAACGGAGTTCAACCTTTTCTCAAGGGAGTTCAAACTTTTCTGTTGAGTGATTGACTTATATTTAATGTTAGTCTGAGCTTTTCTGAAGTGGTTTAACTAACTTTTAACGTAGATTCCGCTCCCCTAGACCCCTTCGTCGTTCTTGTGAGACTCACATCCTTTGAAAATTTGGCCGAGATTTTTTCCTACCTGATGGTGGTTTTTTAAGCAAGCACAATTGTTGATAAAAATGGTTTTAAATCTACAAAAGTTCGTATTTTTATAGAAATTTTGGTTTTTTGATCAGCCAAGTTGGATTTCGGCTCCAACCTTTGAAAAACAGGCTTGGATTTTATAGAATAGACCTATATTAGTTCATACGTGATGGTAGACTTTTTTGATGCCAGGTTGGATATCGGTTCTATCGTTTAAATATTGTGCTTGGATTCTATAGAATGGAACTTGCTGAATCCATACGTGAAGGACGAATCTGGTTAATACCAACAAAAGTAGGTACTTTCATAGAAATTTTATATATATGTTTTGCTGATCTGAATTTTGACTCCTATATTTGAAAAATAGACTTCGATTTTATGGAATGGACCTTAATGAATCCATACGTCAGCATTGAATTTTCGAAGGTTTTTTGAAAACCGAGTTTAAATTCACAAAAATTCATATTTTGATGTAAGTTTGGGTTTCCTGTTCAGCCAAGTTGGATTTTTGCTCCGTCCTTTGAAATAGAGGCTTAGATTTTAAAGAATGAGCCTTGTTGAATCTATACGTAATGGTACATTTTTGAAGCATGCACATTTTTTAGAAAACTGGGCTTAAATTCTCAAAAGTACGTATTTTCAAAGAAATGTGTGTTTCTGTTTCTACCAAGTTTAAATTCTGAAAATATGTGGGATTTTATAGAACTCCTGAATCCATACGTATTTTTTTATAGAAATTTGGTTTTTCGTTTCTGCCAAATTGAATTTCGGCTCATATCTTTGAAAAATAAGCTTGTATTTTATTGAATGGACCGTGCTGAATCCATACGCTAAGAACGATCCGGGTTAAGGGGGTAGTACACTTTGAACGTCCAAAAAGTAAGGCATTTATTTTTATTTTTTTTTAAGCAATAAAACACTCAGGGAGGGCAAATATGTTATAACCCTTTTATTAGTCATCCTTCGAACAACAATTTGTATTTTTTTGAACTCGATTGGCGTCGTCCCGTGGCCGGTGCACCAGGTCGCGCGGGCGTCCTCGCGCGGAAGTCAGAAAACAGCGTGGGAAAATACTCCTTTCCATGCACAGCAAAAAAATAATTTTGATATCACGTCAAAGTGGATGCACTACAATCATGTTGAAAATATGGTGTAATATGACTTGCTAAAAAGGACAAAATTATCATTAATACAATGCATGAACTGACATTACGCTGCTTTTACTGCATTTGTTTATTTATGTGGTCATAAAAATTACATGACATTTTCGACATGATTGTAGTGCATCCACTTTGATGTGATATCAAAATTATTTTTTTGCTGTGTGTGATCCTGGAACATAAATTGAACAAAAATCCTGATTAGTAATGAAATTTGGGTTGGAAATACGTGTTCCGATTTTTTTTATAAATTAATTTTTTCAAAAGTTGTGGCCTTAGGAAAAAAAAGTCCAGTTTTTCACCCTAAAAATGCTTACAAAATCGTGGGTTAAAAATCCATTTTTGACAAAATCGAAAATTTGGATACGTATTTCTAAGCAGAATTAAATTCTGAACAAGAAA